TATATCAGTGTGGAAAAAAGCACAATGCATACTTTGAAACTTATGTACCCTTAATTGACTGCAGTGTGCGAAATACCCCCCGGCATTCGGGGGTCCCACATTGGCTGGCTGCTAACTCACTCGCCATAGCAGCACTGATGCTAGCTTCAATAGCAGGAAGTTGTTTGGTTTAACAGTTTTTCTTGTGGAAATGCTCTTTTCTAGTTGGTACTGCGATCTTCTACACATTAACTGAGATCTTACACATCTCCTCTTTTGTCTTTGGTTTGAGAAATGAGTAACAATTCACTTTTTCCACCAAACTCGGGGAAACTTGGCAAGTTCTCAGATTTACAAATATGCTGCGGCACATTGTTAAGTTTTATAGAGGTATCCTGGGCATATACAGTTGCTAGACTATGAAGGACCAACTGGGTGAACCAGTTTGCTACAGCACCACCCTGAGGCAAACCAGTGCTGCATTACTAGTTTGTTAAGAATACCATAGATAGAAGCTCGCCGATGGTGGGTAAAAGTAGCTAAACAATGACTTTTCCCTGAATTTATATGTGAGCATAACATCACAAGTTCATTTTCAGGGACCCCCCAGAATTTTGATTTTGAGACATTCAGGGGGTCCAGGAGGTTAATTAAGGGGCCCTTAATCGCACCTTTATTGACTGTCTTTCTATTTAAATATCAGTTCATGAACACACAGCAGTGTTCTCCTTACAGCTGGACTTTACAGCTGTGCTTTCTGCACAGCATACTCTTCTACTGCTTGTGTGTGTAATAGTACCTGGAACTGTATTTGTCACTTTGCATACTATGTACAGTATCAGCTACACAACATAATATCTGTATTTATGTACTTCTGTTGATCTTTGGCTGGCAAAATTGAATTATATAAGCAGAACGTGTTCCTGTCAGCTGTTCTAGTGGAGTAGCATTTAGATCCATTGTTCTGAAAGTGCATCTGCAAATATGCTCCCTTAAGGCAGTCCCAGTCATTACTAAAGCAATGCACAGTTATGCATTTTTAATGATGCATTTTCTCAGGCCAGCACGCAATTACATATTCAAAAGTAGGTTTTGGTGGAAGTATGTCTTCTGAGATTTGTGCGAGAGAACAAAGTTGCAAGAACATTTTAACACTGGTTGTAAATGGAACTCATTCTAGTGTCAAACCAACTGTGTGAAAAAGAGAAGCCATTAGCACTTAGTAGAGCATTGAAGGTCTCTCTCTCTCTCTCTCTCTCCCTCTTTCTCTCTCTCTCTCTCTCTCTCTCTCTCTCTCCCTCTCTCTCTCTCTCTCTTTCTTTCTCCCTCTCTGTTTCTTTCTGATAGCTCTATGTCACAGCCAAGGTTAATCATAATGCCTGAGGAGAAGGGGGGAACGAGAAAGGGAAGGATGCGAGGTCAAGGAGCAGAGATAGAGAGAGTGAGAATGAGACGGAGTGCTTGGCACTTTTCCCTGAAAGCTCACGACTCTGATGGGCTCCTTTCGTGTGATTTCGGACCCTCTGAGTGAAAGAGCAGCACTCCTACGGCAGCTAGCACCTTTAGCTTCAGCGCTGGTCCACTCTCGCAGATCATCAGAGTCAGGTTCTCAACTGATAAATGGGACTTTGACAGTCTTGCATGGAGAAGATGACCTGGGGAAACAAACAGTGAATTACTGATAAAAATGTATGACCTTTTTCTACCGTTTCTGGTCTGTTTTACTTAAATTGGCTGTAAATGTCTGACCTCAGAACAGTTTGCTTCCTCCCATGAATAAAGATGTATGTGACTGGTCTGTGATGCTCTTAGACTGAAAAAACGACCAAAAAGGGCTCATACAGGTCGTGGAAAATCTGGAAGGACATGGAGTATGAGCTATACACACATTTTCTAAACCGCTTATTCTTCTGGGTCATGGGGGGAGCTGCATGCATTGGGCGGAAGGCAGTGTAAACTCTGGACAGGTTGCCAGTCCATCACAGGGCAGACACACAGACATATACACTCACACGCACATGGGGCAATTTAGCATGTCCAATTGGCCTGACTGCATGTCTTTGGACTGTGGGAGGAAACCGGAGCACCCGGAGGAAACCCACAAAGACACGGGGAGAACATGCAAACTCCACACAGAAAAGACCCTCGTTGTCCAGCCAGGGAACCGAACCCAGGCCCTACTTGCTGTGAGGTGACAGTGCTGCCCTCATGTTTAATTCATAAAGTCGGTTTCAGTAAGTTTGACTTTTCATATGACCAATGAACCCACACATATTTCACGTGACCTCAGGTTCTTTTATTCGTGGGATCTGTTAGCGAGTGCATCACTTCATTAGTTTTAGCCTGGACCCAGTATTGTGGTATGGTAAAGATTTTGGTCAGGTTAAAACAGTGAATCAGTCTTCATTTTCAGTGCTTCAGTGTCCAGTTTTACCACAGTTCAGTTTGATTCAGTTATATTGGCACAACTCAGAATTGTTTCTAAAAGAATACTAAATACACAGATGTGCCTGCTGTAATGCAATATAGGCAATGAAAACAGTACTTCAAGCTTTTTGGGGGTAGTTGTTATGTGAGATTTTTATTTTGGCCAAAAAGTTAGCATATACTTGATTGAATACTGTTAAAATCTATTATAATCAGTTCTGACATTCAAAAATCAATGCAGTTGAATCACCATCCTCAGACTGATGCAGAATGATGCATTAAGGCACATTTACCCCAATTTTAAACACAGATTAGTTTAGTTTGAGTACTGACTGAAGCCTACTTTATTTGCCAGAATACCACTTATGATATTCTTTTTTAATTAAACTGCCATGGCACCATTTCCCATTCTAGCATCCATTCCACAACACGATCTCCAAACTGATTCACAGCCTTTAGCCTTTCCTGCCTGTGGAAATTAGCCACATCTGTTGCATCCTTTGTGTCGCTGATGAAAGAGCTTTCTTTTTATTGCCATTATGGTGATGATCCAGCAGAGCAGATAAATTATATTACAAATTACTGTTTGCCTTTCTCCCACAAAGCCCTTTTTTTTGGTCTAAATGAATAGACAGAGCACAGAGCCGCTGTAATCCTTCCCTCGCCGTATTGTATGTGTTTCATTAGGATGTTTACTTTTATCATGCACTTCCGCTACTAAATTAATTTAATGATGGAACAGGATTAGTTGTGTTAATAAAGCCACTCAGCCAGATACTGAACAGACTTAGTTTATCTCAAAAGCAAATACAACTAATGTTACTGTCCATTAGGAAAAAAATATGGAGAAGATAATATTCCTTCATGGAAAGCAATGGCATTATAAAAGAGTGTGTAAAGCTGTGTGTGTGTGTGTGTTTGTGTGTGTGTGTGTGTGTGTTAGTGTTTTCTACTGATAGTGAAATTTCTCATCAGTCCACAGCTCTGCGTCGTTCCTCCTCTCTCTCTCTTTCTCTCTCTCTCTCTCTCTCTCTCTCTCTCTCTCTCTCTCTCTTTCTCTCTCTCTCTCCCTCTGTTTCAGCCCATTTTCCTTCCCATCTTTCTCCCCACGCTAACAGGCCCAACAAAAGCACTATTAAGAACATTGCACAAATTACCTCCTCCTGCTTTTGTACAACTAATGCATGCCTTTTTATTTCTAACACAGCACGTAGCATATAACTTGGTCTTATCTGTCTCTGATGCCTGAAAATGTTCCTTCTTGCTTTGTTCAGCTTCCTGAATGAGAGAGGAAATCTAACAGAGTGAAGTTAATTGTGTTTTTTGGGTTCGAAGCTGTCCAGGATTGCATTGTGGTATCTGAATATAATAATCGGAGTCGTTCAGGAAACTTGTTTTCTTTCTAAATTGCTCCATTCGGTCTCAGCTTTGTCTGAGAGTGCGCTCCTCTCCGTGCTGTTAAAGGCCATTGCACATGGTGGCGGGGGGCTAAGTTGGAAAGCAGTAGCTACGTCTGAGATTTCATGCCGCTTCTTTGGATGAGGGGATACTGTTCGTTTGTTTGTTTGCTTCTTTTACAGCACCTTTCTTGAACCCAGGGTCATATACCTGATAAAACCAATGTCATGTACTTGATGAAACTCATTTATTAGCGTTGATATACTGGTATAAAGTTGTTTTTGTTGTCTGTGGGGGTTTGTTTAGTTGATGTTCAGTCATTAATGTGGGGTACAACCTAATTTTTTTTGTATGTTTTTGCTAAATGATTTTAAAAATGTTTGAGTGTTTTGAGTGTTGCGCTGGTTTGAGTGGATCAGGCACAGCAGTGCTGCTTTTTATTTGTTTGGAGGTGTATAATCAATAATCATGATTTTTTAAACTAGAAAATATTGTGCTAAATATCGTGAAAGTATCATTTTCAGATATCACTCAGGCCTAGACCGAAGCACAACCAATGTTATAAAATGATCTTTACATTGCATGTAATTACACGTTTCCACCAGAGATCTCCAAATCCCCAAACTTACATAGTGCAGCTTTAAAACAAAAAAAAGTGTTGACTTCTGACTTCAGCAATCAAACAACATTAACAGTATGAAGGAAAAGGTTATTTTGGGGGTACAAAAGCCATGAGCTTCATGGTGAATCTCGCAAAATATAGATTGCTATGGAAATTCCAGGTTGCAGTGCTATGAGAATACAAGAAAGTGACTAGTTTGTTTTATTTAAACCTGTTTAAATACATAAAATATCCCAGTTACATTTTACTCTATGTTAAGTTGTGCCCTGATCTCCCCTACATCTTTTTTTCTGCCCACATAAGCATTCACAGTTAAACTGTTAACCAAATGAAACATGAATGATCTGCAGTTTGAGTGATGTTTATTGTTGTAAGCATATGTGTGTGTATATGTTTGTGTGTGTTTAACTCTGCAGTTAGGCATGGCAACAGCTCCCCAGAGAGACAATCTGTAGAAACAAGCTGGACATGTATTAATGCCAGAAATTCTCTCTCTCTCTCTCTCTTTCTCTCTCTCTCTCTCTCTCTCTCTCTCTCTCTCTCCCTCTCTCTCTCTCTCCTTCTGTCCCTCTAGGTACGGAGACATGGTCCCTAAGACAATAGCAGGGAAGATCTTTGGCTCTATCTGCTCTCTGAGCGGCGTGCTGGTGATCGCTCTGCCTGTTCCTGTCATCGTCTCCAACTTCAGCCGCATTTACCACCAGAACCAAAGAGCAGACAAGCGGCGTGCGCAGAAGGTGCAGGTTAGCACAGCTCTCTCTCTCCTCTTCTCTGGGTGAGATCCACATGGCACCAGGCTTCAGGGCACTGTGAGAGCAGCTCAGCCCCACAGGGCCGCGCTCCCAGCTGGGGAGCAGGTGTGAGGTAAACTGGCCTTGGACGGGCCATTGCCGAGTTGAGTCGCACGCTTTACGCACTGAATAACTGTAACCCAGTTACCCAAATGCTTAGCTGGGTCAAACGTGCATCTGAGGATATTACAAATATGAGCCGCTAGATTTTTTACCCTTTGTTTTACAGTGTCTTACCTAAGCCTAAAAGTTGCTGGCTGAGAATATGTTTATATTTTTTATTGTAACTTGGTCATATATTGCACTCTTATCAAATGATCTATATATTCTAAATCAAGCCCAACTTTTCAGTAATCCCTGTTATTAACACACACTTTCAGTGGTTTAGGACAAAAATAATGTGCAAACATGTAGAAAAACTTCAAAACCAGAAATTAATTTTTTCACATTTTGTGTCTTCATTGTAACAGCAGCAATATGTTTGGTCTTAAAGGTTTAAACCTTAGGGGCCGATTTCCTGGACAGGCAAGCTTAATCTTGGACTACATTTTCTTTCCAGTGGAAAATCTTCATTCAGAATCCTGTGTAGGCTTAACTCCTCTCCAGGAAACCGACCCTCGAAGTCACAGTTATCACAGGAACCAAGGAGTAATTTTAAATGAATCAAGTGTTTAGACAATGTCTGGGTGTGACCTCTTCACCCCGTAATGAAGGTAATTTGTGTGAGGTCTTTCAGAATCGACCGACAGAAAGCAGTGAACACATCACAGTGGATTTGGAGGAGATCAGAATTCTCCTTGTATCACTCTAAACATCACAGCCCATTTCAGAGAGGTCTTTAAAGATCTCATTAGGAAACATGACAGAGCCATGGAGACGAGGTCAGGATATTAACAGTGACAGAGCTGTTTAAGCAGCCATTAGGCGATGGCAGGTCGCTCAAGCACCCGCTAATGAGGTTAAGGAGGGAGATTTGATTAGCAGCAGCCCTCTTCCCTAACCACACACAGACCCCAACCAGCACTCAACAAAATCACAATCAGGCCCTTTTACCCAGCTAATCACTTCCATATCTCTGTGTACTGAATTTCATAATTTTTGCTCTATAACAGGGACGTCTCAGTCTGATCCAAAGCATTGGGATCAGAGCCAATCCAGGCATATTTGAATTCATTGGCTATTGAGCATATTAAGTCTGATCCAATTCTGTTTCTTGTTTTTTGTGTGGCTGTAGAACTGACATAAACAGCGATTGTCTACACCCTGCAGAAGTCAGGACTCTTTTCAGACGCCTCTTTTCCATTTTATCAGCTCCATTTACCATATAGCTGCACTTTGTAGTTGTCCAGTTACAGACTGTAATCCTGTTTCGCTGAATACTTTGCTAGCCAACTTTGATGCTGTCCTTCATTGGTCAGGACCTCCACAGGACCACCACAGAGCATGTATTATTTGGGTGGTGGATCATTCTCAGCACTGCAGTGACACTGTTGTGGAGTTGTGTTAGTCTCATGCTGGTAAGAGTGGAGCAGAAACTGTCAGCACTGACTTAGAATATATACAACGTCCTTGGCAAGTGCTCCTCATAGAATGAACAATGAGTGTAGGAACAAGTAGGTGTACTTGAGGAAGTATGGTCAGTGTCTTTACGATGGAATATGAAAATGTATTATCTACGGTGTGAGTGTTTAGACTGTGTTTGAACTAGCCATGTTTTACCTAAACACAGTGGCACGAAAAATATGATCCTGTTGCCAAAACAATTTGTCTATGTTCTATGTTACGCAACCAGAAGCATGTGCAAAATACACTCCAGCTACATTTTTAACTTGCGAGTCACCAGTTGAAAACAATACTGTTTTGAAATGCACCAGCTGTTTTACTGGCTGCAGGTTTTAAACCAATGTTAACAGAAACACAGCATTGAAAAAAGAAGGGAGCAAGCTACTGTACACACATTAGAGCAATATGAAATCATAGGGTATTCACACTGTAACACTACTTGGATATTAGAACTTATCAAAATTAAGTGATTTGCTGCAGATCACCACAGCGGTCAATCAAATTTGTACAGTAGACTATTAAACACACTATAAAATGGCAATTAAAAGAAAAGTATGGCAAAATGAGTCTAGAATGTCACATTATGGACAAGTTTCAGTTTTCAGCTAGTACTCAACATTAAAGAATTGTATGAGGGAGCAAAAAAGTGAAGCATATCCCTACTCTATACTGTAAACTGTATGGAAAAAGTAAATATGTTTTAAGTGCAAGTCATTTTAAATCATATATTTTGGTTTTGAAATGTTCATACAATGTAAAAGGTAAAATGTAAAAAAAAGCTAAAAAAAAGTTTTTTAAAGTGATTTACTATATAAAAAAATTCTACATTACTATATCAGCTATCATACACCACACACAGACTCATACACTAATACTTGCTCTCTCTCACACAAACATCACACACACACACACTCGTCACGCACCTTGTTACTAACAGGCCAAAGGTTCAAAGGTTAACATGATGAGTCTAAGGTTGCCATGATGAGGAAAAGTTCTTCTGTTGTTGCTATGGAGACTTTACAGAGACCCCTGTCAGCAGGCCAGTTTGAGCACTCAGAGCAAACCTTCTGCACATCCTCACTAAGTACTGGAGGATCAGACGTCTGTCTGACTTCTGTCTGACCCGGCCAGATGAAATCCACATCGGATTTAAGGCTGGAACGAGATCACAGACTTTTGTGCCTAAATCATGTTTGTTTTGCACTTATTTATTTATTAATCTGATTGGATTTGTGTATTAGGCAGGATTTGTGCCTGTAATTCTTTGCTAAAATATATAAATGTGTTCCAAATGGCTTTTTGTGGGTTTGGACTCTGAGGGAAAGAATAGCTGTTTATCAGACCTGAATTGATCTCCTTTTCTAAACATTGCCTGGGAGTTTAATGTTGTCATAACATAACGTAGGTTGGCCACCAGAGTGGCCACAGAGGTGCACCAGCCATGAATTTTAATGGCCGATTCCAGTTTCTTTATAGCTAAATTGTTCAGTGGCTGATTGCCCCTTTCTTTAGCCAGATTTTCTTTTCTTTTCTGACCCGAAGCTCAGACTGTGTGGGCTAAATGAACAGATGAAACATGCTGGCACATTGCCAGTGCTTTCCATTAGCCGAAGTCGCAACACAAATAACTTTATTTGCTTTAATGGGCCAAATTGGCATTTTAAATAACATGAAATCAAATAAAGCGCTACACTGAAAGTAAGAGGCAACACGATGTTTAATACAGTGAGTCATGAATAATTATTCTGTGACATTTTCGTATACTGTGCAAAAGTCAGAGAACACACTTTGTTTATTTAAATTCCAGTCAAAACAGCGATTAAGTACAAATTATTCATTTTCCAGTGTCAAAAAAGCAGGAAACATATATTTAACAGAAAATTACACAGAAGCCTCAACAGATAAATATCAAATCTATCAGTATTTCATTTGTTCGCTGTTTACTTTTGTGCACCTGCTGCCACTTTAACACTTCCATCCTTCCAATCTTGGAAAGAACCAATGAGTTATAGCTTTGTCTCTCCCAAAAAAGCTGCTACAAAAGGTGTGACTGGCATTCACACACAAACACATCACTTATCCATCCATCCATCCATACATCCATACTATCCCCCCAATAACTCTCTCCCTTAAGTGTTTTTTTATTGCATAACTAAGTGTGATGTAATTGGCTATAAAATCACCACAAGCCCATCTCACTCATTTCCCACCCTGAAATAGAATTTAATGACAAGTCAGTTTTACTGTAGAGTAGTCTGATTACAGACAGTGCAGAATGGCGCCTCCTCAAAGGCTGTACAGATCACACTATGGAAGCTGCTAAAGGCTTTCTTTGTATATATGTATTCTTAAAAATAAGGATACAGAAAATAAAATAAAATAAAAATTTCTTTAGGGTGATGCCATAGAAGATACTTTTGGTTCCCTAAATGGATATTCAACAAGATGTAAGGTTCTTTACCAAAAGTTCTACCTAGAGGCATGCATCCAAGTCGTTTTCAAACCATTGATATGATCCCTCTCACAGGCTTCCAGTATGGGACCACACTAGAACAGTTCTTAAAGGCTTTCCTGCTTTCTGCAATGTAAATTATCCCAGAGGTTTTTACTGTAGACCACCTGAGTGCTGAGTGCATAGAGCACTGGCTGCTAAAGTAAAGCTCTTATCATATGTCCTAGACTTATTGCATGCTAACAAGAGTGGTCACAGGGGCGAATGTATTAGCTTGTGTTTCTGCACTGCATAGTTTTTGTGCCATATATTATCCAGTGGCAGACCCTGGCCCCAGTGTGTGATGTAGTGTTTAGTGTCTCTGAATGGATGTACCTACTGTAGCCTGCTCCTCCATTAGCTGATCTCAGATCAGTTTTACCATATGGAACCATCTCCATTCTCTAATCCATTTGAAGAATTTTGGTGATGACCCCTTAACCCCTTACATGGCCAGGACCCAAAATTTTATTACACACTTTTATAACCCAAGAATAGTTTAACCAGTTTGCATTGAAGTCCCTGTCGTTGCTGAATAAAAAGCCTTAGCATGTAGTATGTGTTTGTGCAAAGGTCTCTAATCAGTAGATAAAATCCTCCTGAGAGTCGTCTGAACGTGATTGAATAGAAGGAATAAGACCAAAAAAAAGCTAACCTTTTGTACAAAGGCCTTAACATGGTAAGTTTTACAAATTTGCTTTATTTTGAATAGTGCCCTAGAAATAACACATAAAAAATGCTATGGCATTTTTTTTTATCCTAAGCTCAAGTTGTGAACACGTCGTATGAGAACAAGTCTTCCTTTGTATGAGGAACAAATTTGCATAATCATTTGAAAGTTTTCTTTTCCAAGCTGTTGTTAAAAGCACATATTGGGGGATCTCAAGTGGTGCAACCA